TTTCAGGTCAGCTTTATGTTCACGGATGCGGTCCGAGACATGTCGTTTGGTTTCCCCAATGTAACTGCTACCACAGAGGCAACTTAGTTTGTAGACGCCAGGGTACTGTATGTCTGGAACCACATCTTTTACAGACGGTACCAGATCACGGATTTTATGTACTGTGTTGAATCGGACCTGGATCTTGTGTTTAATCAGGATTTTGGAGATCTTTTTTGTGACCCCAGCAATGTAGGGTAAGGTGATGGTCTTGAAAGGCTCCTCAGCAGGATCCTTCTTGATGGTTGGAGTGATGGCTTTGCGGATTGTATAGTCGGAGTAACCATTTGCCTTAAGAGCTTGGCGTACGTGTTTGAGTTCACTGGAAATGTGTTCATGGTCGGAGATGCATTGGGCTCTATGATATAGAGTCTTGATGAGGGAATTCTTCTGAGATGGATGGTGGTGGGAATCCGGTTTTAGATAAGCATCCGTGTGGGTGGCTTTCCTGTAGACAGAGTGGCTCATTGAACCATCAGGTCTCCTTTTGATTAGGACATCCAAAAAGGGTAGCTTGCCATCATTTTCGACTTCCATGGTGAATCTGATGGCTGGGTGTATGGAATTGATGTGGTCGAGAAATTGGTCTAGAGCAGGCCGGCCATGTGGCCAGATGACAAAAGTGTCGTCTACGTACCTCTTCCATAAGGTCGGGCGTAGAGTGGCAGTCTGGATGGCGTCCGTCTCAAATTTCTCCATGAAGATGTTGGCTACAACCGGAGATAGGGGGGAGCCCATTGGGGTGCCCTCAATTTGCTTGTAGAAGGTTCCATTCCAGGTGAAGTATGTATTGGTTAAGCAGTGTCTCACCAGGGGGGGTACCCCAGCATTCAGTCCTTGATGAACCAAGTCTTCAATGATTGCGATGGTGTCAGGCACAGGTACCTTGGTGAACAAGGAAACCACATCAAAACTGACAAGCAGGTCGTCTGGGGACAGGGCAATCCCCTTGATTGTCGATACCAGGTCAGTAGAGTTTAGTACTGCAGAGGTGGTTTTTCCAGTGAAAGGCCGTAGGATTTCGGACAAAAAACGAGCCAGTTTGTAAGTGGGGGAGTTGATAGTAGAGACAATGGGACGAAGAGGTGTATCTTCTTTATGTATCTTTGGCAAGCCGTACAATCTTGGTGGTCTGGCTGCAGAAGGTTTCAACGAGAACTGTTTGGTCTGATCAATTAATGCGGTTGAAGCAGAAATGATGTTGTTGGTTTTGGAGACGAGGCTGTTGGTGGGGTCTCTTTTTATTTTTGTATAGCTGCCATCGTTTAGTAGTTCTTGAATTTTGTTGTTGTATTCTATTTTGTCCATGATGACAGTGGCATTGCCTTTGTCGGCTGAGAGGATGACAATGTCATCCCTCTTTTTTAATTGAGCTAATTCAAAACGCTCCTCTTTGCTGATGTTGCTAGCTGGCATCTTAGCGTTTTTGAGGGTTACAGAGATTTCGGATCTTGCTACGTCTGCAGCGATGTGACTCAAGCCCTTGAGAGCTACATCTACTCGAGCAATTATATCATTAACTGGTATGTGTCTAGGTGTGACTGCAAAGTTTAGTCCTTTAGCTAAAACGGATTTCAAACCTTCAGAAATAGGACTGTTACTGCGATTAATTACGACTTTGTTAATATCTAGCTTTTCAATGTGTGGGTCCGGTTTCTTGTTTGAGAGGCGATTGAATTTGGAAATCAAGTTGTCCTTACATTTAGTCGACATAGCGGCAGCTGAAGAGGCAGTCATTTTTTCCACATGTTCCCAATCCGATGTGGACATTGTTACACTCAAAGATAAGTGTGATTTGTAGAGTGTCTTGTCTAACTGATCTAGTTCGGTGCGCGTAAGTCTGATTTTCTCTGAGATAAGAGCTAAGCTAGTTCTAGACAGAATTCGTTTCGCATTAGAAGAAGTTACAGCAGCAGATGTTAGTGTAAATGCGTTTGGTATTACCTTAGAGTCGCGGCATCTCTTCAGAAAGGTGAGAGACTCGATTAGCTGAGCCTTCTTATCCCGGAGCTTGTTGAAGGATCTCAAAGTTATGTGGAAACCCTCCCCGTAGAGGCGGTTAAATTTCGATTTAAAGCTTTCGTGACTGCAGGGATTCATCTTCTTGTTTCTTTCGGTAAAGTCACGTAGAAGGGAAGTAATAAAATAATAAAAATAAAACATAATAAAACAATTCTCACGACGTTTCGGCTACAACGCAAGCAGCCGTCTTCAGGTGAAGAATGAGACACTACCAAACTAGGAGCTTATATATAAGCTGCATTGGGGGTTGAAGAGCGCCTTAACAAAAAGAATGTGCATGTGAAGAGGGATTTAGCATATTCATGGAAAATGCGTAGGCGTTGGGCGGGGGGGTGTCAAAGTCATATTATGCCCATGCATTATGCAGGATCAGCAGCAACCAAGGGGGGTGCAGGGATTAGCAGTAACAAAGGAAAGGAATGTTAATGATATGTAGCTGCAGTTACTCAACAACACGTAGAAAACTAAAGTATAAACTACATAAAAAACTAAAGTATAAACTGCATCGCACCATCAGTATACTTACTATACTCTATAATAAGCTGAGTTACTAACAGCAAGTAATACATTACAATTTTACCTCGTAAAAATTCTATAATATGCTTCCATCTAAACCTTATTCTCTTACATCACACGAGCATATACCGTACTATATACTGCCATAGATAAACCCAACATTAAATTATATACTGTATTGCTGTAAACCAACCTATATCTTATACATTTAATATCACACTATGTATTATTCTACACACCCTAATGTGTATCGAAATGGTTTATTACGTCCTTCCAATGATTGCTGAGCCAGAATCCATCTTCTCGGTTAAAGTTGTCTCTGTGTTTGTATATGTGGATCGCCTCATGAACGAATCTCTCATGATAGCCAGATGGCTTGCAGAGAACCTCTGTCTTGGAGAAGTCAATATCATGTGAGCCCACTGAGTTGTAACAGTGATCTGCCACGGCTGAGGTGTTAGTCCTACCGTGTTTCAGGTCAGCTTTATGTTCACGGATGCGGTCCGAGACATGTCGTTTGGTTTCCCCAATGTAACTGCTACCACAGAGGCAACTTAGTTTGTAGACGCCAGGGTACTGTATGTCTGGAACCACATCTTTTACAGACGGTACCAGATCACGGATTTTATGTACTGTGTTGAATCGGACCTGGATCTTGTGTTTAATCAGGATTTTGGAGATCTTTTTTGTGACCCCAGCAATGTAGGGTAAGGTGATGGTCTTGAAAGGCTCCTCAGCAGGATCCTTCTTGATGGTTGGAGTGATGGCTTTGCGGATTGTATAGTCGGAGTAACCATTTGCCTTAAGAGCTTGGCGTACGTGTTTGAGTTCACTGGAAATGTGTTCATGGTCGGAGATGCATTGGGCTCTATGATATAGAGTCTTGATGAGGGAATTCTTCTGAGATGGATGGTGGTGGGAATCCGGTTTTAGATAAGCATCCGTGTGGGTGGCTTTCCTGTAGACAGAGTGGCTCATTGAACCATCAGGTCTCCTTTTGATTAGGACATCCAAAAAGGGTAGCTTGCCATCATTTTCGACTTCCATGGTGAATCTGATGGCTGGGTGTATGGAATTGATGTGGTCGAGAAATTGGTCTAGAGCAGGCCGGCCATGTGGCCAGATGACAAAAGTGTCGTCTACGTACCTCTTCCATAAGGTCGGGCGTAGAGTGGCAGTCTGGATGGCGTCCGTCTCAAATTTCTCCATGAAGATGTTGGCTACAACCGGAGATAGGGGGGAGCCCATTGGGGTGCCCTCAATTTGCTTGTAGAAGGTTCCATTCCAGGTGAAGTATGTATTGGTTAAGCAGTGTCTCACCAGGGGGGGTACCCCAGCATTCAGTCCTTGATGAACCAAGTCTTCAATGATTGCGATGGTGTCAGGCACAGGTACCTTGGTGAACAAGGAAACCACATCAAAACTGACAAGCAGGTCGTCTGGGGACAGGGCAATCCCCTTGATTGTCGATACCAGGTCAGTAGAGTTTAGTACTGCAGAGGTGGTTTTTCCAGTGAAAGGCCGTAGGATTTCGGACAAAAAACGAGCCAGTTTGTAAGTGGGGGAGTTGATAGTAGAGACAATGGGACGAAGAGGTGTATCTTCTTTATGTATCTTTGGCAAGCCGTACAATCTTGGTGGTCTGGCTGCAGAAGGTTTCAACGAGAACTGTTTGGTCTGATCAATTAATGCGGTTGAAGCAGAAATGATGTTGTTGGTTTTGGAGACGAGGCTGTTGGTGGGGTCTCTTTTTATTTTTGTATAGCTGCCATCGTTTAGTAGTTCTTGAATTTTGTTGTTGTATTCTATTTTGTCCATGATGACAGTGGCATTGCCTTTGTCGGCTGAGAGGATGACAATGTCATCCCTCTTTTTTAATTGAGCTAATTCAAAACGCTCCTCTTTGCTGATGTTGCTAGCTGGCATCTTAGCGTTTTCTCGATGGTCTCTCTATATGCGTGCCTGTTCTTCTCATGTTCGCTCCCGACAGCTCAAGACCGACGATAGAGCCGAATAAACACACACTTCCTTTGTCTTTGTCAATCCTTCACTAGCCCTGTGGCGTCAGCCATCTCTATGTCTCTTGTGTTGGTCATCCTTTTGTGGATGAAGGCCGCCTCAAAGCCGCTGACACCTCTCACGATTACTGCGATGTTAAAGAGCCATCTGTAGTTCTACTCATTACTGTGCGTTCGTTGCGTAGCTCTCTGACCTGACTTAAATTGCTCAATTATTCTCCCACAGCAACGTGGGGCGAAACGTCAGACATGAAGCCGGACAACACGTTTTACTACCCGACAACACATCGGAGATCCATCTACTAACAATTTCTGTCTTTTGTATATATTCGATAACACTAATCCACTTGTTTGTGTCGCCGTGTTATTCATTCCCGTCCGGGGTCGCCTCTTACTCTGACGCAGACGCATGTTCCCCTTCCTGAGCTTCACGGTGTCGGGACTCGACCCCACGGCACATTACAACGTGTTCGTGGACGTGGTCCTCTCCGACCCCAATCACTGGCGCTTCCAGGGCGGCAAGTGGGTGCCCTGCGGCAAGGCTGACACCAACGTGCAGGGTAAGACCCCCCCCCCCCTACCCCAAGCCAGATGACACTTACGCCATCACCACCAGCAGCAGTAACACCAGCAGGAGCTTCATAAGCCCCGGGTGCGTTGCGTTCGATTGCGCTGGGGGTGCCGCAGCTCCACTTGGATGGGCAATTAACACCCTGAATAGGCACTGCGGGGGGGGGGGGGGGTCTGAGTCGGGACCTGTTTTACTCGGCACAACCACTAAAGTATCACGTGATTTCAGTCGGGTCTTTCTGGGTCTGGGAGCCGGAAAATCCTCCCTCGCCCGGCACATATCGCATTCAGTATACCTCGAGCAAGGACTGTGGCTACCAATCTATTTGCCACTCGAATCTACCAGCCACCCGGAAAATCTTCAGCGCGTAAAGACATATACATGCGTGTTTAAATGGCTAAGCATATGTGCCATGTGGTTATATGTATAATACGTTCACTACGGGATGAGAAGCAATTGCACTTCTGCGTGCATTGGAACGGATGTATTAGCGCAAATAGCGTTTTCCTATGTTGTCTTCCGTTTTAATGTAGGGTACATTTACCATGTAAGGCCCACTAAGCGATGTAGCTGTTTTGCAGAAGCAACCTAACTGCAAATGATAGCTCAACGAAGTGGCTTATCATGTGGAATTTTCAGAGCAGCCAAATACTCTAAACCCGGAGAAAAATGCACGCGACCACGGGGTCAGGGTTGCGATCGAACCCACGACCACCTGTAGACCAGGCGACGTAGTTAACATCTCGCCACCGTGGCGCCCTACATACCTGGATATCTCTCACGTGTCATTCTATAAGTGGAGAATGAATGTTAATATGTATACATGTCTGTGCACCAAGTATACAAATAAACACACATCAAACTCGTAATTGATAACAGAAAAGACGTTTCGAGAAATAACCCTTCGGAACAGAAGGATACAAATATGTTTTTTGGTAACTGTGTGTAAATGAGTTTTCCGCGTGTTCTTGCGCTTTGCTCGGGATTCACCTGTGACCAAATCACCCTGAATGCGCCAATGCTTCATATATGTCTCGGAAGCTAATCAGTGTTGAGCCTAATTAGCACGTGGATGGGCTAACCAAGCAGGGCTCATCAGGTCGATGTAGGAGTTGGGCTTTGGCCTGCACATGTCTCACAGGAGGTGGCAGTGTTGAGTATCATCCCCACCTTCAATGGGTGGTGGGTTTTCTCCGGATACTTCGGTTCCCGCTCAAACGAAACCAACCACTAATGAATAATACGAATATTTAGCACTTCATGCAATTGGACAATATTCCAATGTAGCAGGATCCGCCTTAAGTTATGCATATGTGGCTTCGGCAAGTGTTTGATAATCAAGCGCAGGGTGCATGGGTTCGATCCAGACCCTGACGCCTCTATATTTGTAATTTGCATGTTTTCTCGGTGTTCGCGTGGATTGGCCTCTGGGTCCTCCGGTCCCCCCACCCCCCACATTTAGAAACGGGCGTTTAGAGTATTTTGCACCTATACATGTCCCCATGATGAAGCCACTTCGTTGAGCTTTCATTTGTGACACTGCTGAAAAAGTGGGCCTTACCTGGTAACTTTTTTAAAAAGTTTAGCTTAGTTTAACGTCGCAAGCGCGGTTCACGAATAACATTTTACCAGGCACATGCATTCGTCTATTTGCGAGCTGGGGTTGTCATGCTGAACGTCGTGGCACGGCCGAGCTGCGGCTGTAGAACACGGCGGAGGTTCAGTGCCACGATGTTATTCTTAGTCCACGCTGGACGGGAGACGAGAGGCGTGAGTCAGTGGAAATGTTCGCAAACACCTAAATGCGTTGCGAATGAACTCGAACTGAGGACTATTAGCGTGGCCACCATACACGTGTTACAATTAAAGCTACATTTGTAGGTGTGCATTTTTTGTGACATGCACAAAGCATTAATGCAGAATGCAAAATGAAGCTAATCAATTGGGTGCTACTTCGTTGCAGTGGTGCCCCAGCACAGATAACACAAATCCTCAAACATTTGAAATGACACTGCTTTAAAACAAGAAAAATATTACAAACGACGTTTCAAGCAACGGCCCTTCATCAAAGCACGCTCATAGGACATGCTCTTCAAAGCACACGTTCTATTCAAAAGGGCCATTGCTTGAAAGCTCGCTTATTACATTTTTATTTTAAGACAGTGCTATTGACGAGTGGGTTGAGTAATTTTTGTTAGATTGTGAAATGGAATCGTTTAAATAGAGTGAAGGGCGAAGCGGTCCACGCACTGCGAGTTACATTTACGGGCAAAGTTAACGTCAATAACGAGCTAGGCATGGGCTTCCCCAGAGTGGTGAAGTATGGTCAAACAACCTCCATGACCGACACGGTGTGGGGAAGACTTCATCCAGCAATGTTGGCAAAAATCGCCTTACATCTGTGTCTCATAATATCCATTGACCTCGTAGAAATAGAGACGTAGCTTGCTTTGATAGACATATATTGCTATTTATTGGATCAGCTCGGTTAAAACACAACAGAGCAAGTGATTAGAGTAAGAGGTTTCATATTCTTGGTTCTTTCGGTAAAGTCACGTAGAAGGGAGGTAAGAGGTTTATCCATAGATTTCCACGTGTATATGCGTATCAGAGGTGGGACAAAGTCATTGTTATGCAAGTCCAAGTCGAGTCTGAAGTCATCAAATTCATGACTCGAGTCTGACTCGAGTCCAAGTCACATGACTCGAGTCCACACCTCAGAGGTGGGACAAAGTCATTGTTATGCAAGTCCAAGTCGAGTCTGAAGTCATCAAATTCATGACTCGAGTCTGACTCGAGTCCAAGTCACATGACTCGAGTCCACACCTCAGAGGTGGGACAAAGTCATTGTTATGCAAGTCCAAGTCGAGTCTGAAGTCATCAAATTCATGACTCGAGTCTGACTCGAGTCCAAGTCACATGACTCGAGTCCACACCTCAGAGGTGGGACAAAGTCATTGTTATGCAAGTCCAAGTCGAGTCTGAAGTCATCAAATTCATGACTCGAGTCTGACTCGAGTCCAAGTCACATGACTCGAGTCCACACCTCAGAGGTGGGACAAAGTCATTGTTATGCAAGTCCAAGTCGAGTCTGAAGTCATCAAATTCATGACTCGAGTCTGACTCGAGTCCAAGTCACATGACTCGAGTCCACACCTCAGAGGTGGGACAAAGTCATTGTTATGCAAGTCCAAGTCGAGTCTGAAGTCATCAAATTCATGACTCGAGTCTGACTCGAGTCCAAGTCACATGACTCGAGTCCACACCTCAGAGGTGGGACAAAGTCATTGTTATGCAAGTCCAAGTCGAGTATGAAGTCATCAAATTCATGACTCGAGTCTGACTCGAGTCCAAGTCACATGACTCGAGTCCACACCTCAGAGGTGGGACAAAGTCATTGTTATGCAAGTCCAAGTCGAGTCTGAAGTCATCAAATTCATGACTCGAGTCTGACTCGAGTCCAAGTCACATGACTCGAGTCCACACCTCAGAGGTGGGACAAAGTCATTGTTATGCAAGTCCAAGTCGAGTCTGAAGTCATCAAATTCATGACTCGAGTCTGACTCGAGTCCAAGTCACATGACTCGAGTCCACACCTCAGAGGTGGGACAAAGTCATTGTTATGCAAGTCCAAGTCGAGTCTGAAGTCATCAAATTCATGACTCGAGTCTGACTCGAGTCCAAGTCACATGACTCGAGTCCACACCTCAGAGGTGGGACAAAGTCATTGTTATGCAAGTCCAAGTCGAGTCTGAAGTCATCAAATTCATGACTCGAGTCTGACTCGAGTCCAAGTCACATGACTCGAGTCCACACCTCAGAGGTGGGACAAAGTCATTGTTATGCAAGTCCAAGTCGAGTCTGAAGTCATCAAATTCATGACTCGAGTCTGACTCGAGTCCAAGTCACATGACTCGAGTCCACACCTCAGAGGTGGGACAAAGTCATTGTTATGCAAGTCCAAGTCGAGTCTGAAGTCATCAAATTCATGACTCGAGTCTGACTCGAGTCCAAGTCACATGACTCGAGTCCACACCTCAGAGGTGGGACAAAGTCATTGTTATGCAAGTCCAAGTCGAGTATGAAGTCATCAAATTCATGACTCGAGTCTGACTCGAGTCCAAGTCACATGACTCGAGTCCACACCTCAGAGGTGGGACAAAGTCATTGTTATGCAAGTCCAAGTCGAGTCTGAAGTCATCAAATTCATGACTCGAGTCTGACTCGAGTCCAAGTCACATGACTCGAGTCCACACCTCAGAGGTGGGACAAAGTCATTGTTATGCAAGTCCAAGTCGAGTATGAAGTCATCAAATTCATGACTCGAGTCTGACTCGAGTCCAAGTCACATGACTCGAGTCCACACCTCAGAGGTGGGACAAAGTCATTGTTATGCAAGTCCAAGTCGAGTATGAAGTCATCAAATTCATGACTCGAGTCTGACTCGAGTCCAAGTCACATGACTCGAGTCCACACCTCTGATGCGTATAGATGATTGTCGGTCGCTTTCCGCCCACCCTGCATATCTCTTTAAAAGTGAGTGGCTCTCGTTTTTATCGCGAGATATGTGTGACATATTTAATTGATGAAATCAATTATAGTTTTTACGTCGAAGACACACATCTGACAGAGATGGTTCAAGCAAGCCTGACTCTACGGATGAAACACTGACTGTGGAAAATCGGTCAAGAATTTGCTTGCAATTTAACCAACGCTGGTGACAGTTTGCATTCCCAGAAGTATAACGACTAATTTTATGTGTGGGGTATAAACATGAGAGGAAGCGGTAGTGTAGCGTTAAGTGCGTTGTGCTACGAACCCGTCGACCCGAGTTCGATTCCCACTCACGGTCAACACCAGTGATGATTACCTGAACTGGTCCTGGGCCTCCCCTAGATCGACTCAGACTCAAATGAGTACCTTTTGCGACGTGTGAACATCGCCGCTAGGGAGACAAATACAGCCGGACGTGGTGTTGTTAGCCACCAACCCCCTCGTGCGCCGTTCCGGCCTTCATAGGTGCTATACTCGCTAACGGCACTTACCTCAAAAGTCTGTTAAGGCTATACGGGGGATCTTTTACGGCATACAGTAGAGTTGTCTACCTGGTCGGCAGGTGTCGTCTGCGCACAGTCCCTCGCCTCTTGACTCTCGGCGCGTCTCGTGGGCGCAGGTAACCGCGCCTACGTGCACGCGGACTCGCCCAACTCGGGCGCTCACTGGATGCGCCAGGAGATCTCCTTCGGCAAGCTGAAGCTCACCAACAACAAAGGCGGTACCAACAACACGGCGCAGGTGCCGCCCCCGGATAGCAGCATGCGCACCACGCGCACCTCTCCAAACAACACCGGTTGCAGAGCGCAGTGGGCGCGGTGGGTCTCTCCCACTGCGCTATGAACCCCCATAATCTGCGTTCGATTTCTAGATCACTGCTAATCAACCCGCATCGATGAGCGTCATGACGTATCTGTGCAAAAACGGCTCCAATGTCGCGGGAGGAAGGCCTCTATCCATCAGTGGACTAATTGCTGGATTTAAGGCTGTGCATTTAGGCAATGCTCTATTTCGGGCTTAGACATGGGTCGTATCCAGTCTAACATCAATTTTGAGTAGACAATGGCTGTTCTACGGATAGTCTTACCCGCGCCCGTGGGAATGCGTAATGTCCTTAAATTGGCTCAGGAGCGCCCGCGGAGATGAGCACCTCCCCCACGCTGGTCTCCACTAGGACCCACTCCGGCTTGAACTGTATCCACTCGTTGATATCCACAGGCCATGATGAGACAATCCCAGTCGTGTGCGCTCCCTCCCCTTCCAATTGAGATTCCACGCTGTTCAGTGAAATTAAGCACCACCATCGCACATGATGTTGCGAATCTGTTATCGTTCACTTCAACACGTGACGATCATAGTCGACCGGCCATTCATTTTAACTGCTGTCTAACTGGACAATCTCTACAGCGTGCATGCCATTGCTTTGCAGCTCATTCATCATCCCTCGTTTACATTATTTAGGGCGCCAAGGTGGCGAGACGTTAAATACCTTCGCCTGGTATACAGGAGATCGTTGGTTCGATCGCCAACCCTGATGCCTGTATATTTGGAGTTTGCATGTTCTCTCCGTGGTCGCGTGAATTTTTCACCAGGTCCTCTGGTTTTCCCCTCCACATTTAGACACGCACTTTTAGAGTATTTGGCTGCTAGAAATGTCCTTGGGATAAGCCACTTTGTTGAGCTATCATTTATGGCCAGGTCGCTACAGACAAAGAGCTATACAGCTCAGTATGCCTTACCTGTTAAAAATAAAGTTTAACGTTTAAATAGTTTAGTTATCCGTGTTGAACGGACGCATTCGTCACCTCCTCGTCCAAGCCACGGCAATGGCGACTACTTAAATAGAATATATAACACGAGCAATTTTGAATGGACATAAATGAAAGTGAATAATGGTTCCTTATATATAAAATAATCATACAAATTATGATACATTTTCACCCCTTTGTCAATCCACTGCTGGATGAAGGCCTCCCTCTATGTCGTGTTTGGCATAGGAGTTTTTTTTAATCCTTTATATTAAGTTCGCTTGCTTGCTTAGGACCGTGAAAATCTTTCGGTCGTTTTTTAACCCACTTCCCGTGATCCAATCAAGCTGACATTTTCCACACAGACTCGTTGTGCGTGACAATTAATGTTCGTGAATTTTTTTTCCAAAATTGTACACATTTTAGGACAAAAATAATATATTTAATTACCAATTGCTTAATGGTGCAATGCAATCATTTGACCCATAGGTGGCAGCCATCTCAAGCCAGAGGACGAGAGGACTCTAGCCGCCACGCATATAAAGGATTTATAGTGAAAAACTTTGTTTTTACGGGTTAATTTTTTTATTGACTTCACAACGCTGATAAGCGCGAATTTGTGAAGAGGAGCCCATGAGATTTCCAGATAACACTCGCCACTGATGTTAGCCGTGGTCGAAAATTGAACAAAGGTCTCTGGTGTTCGTAGCGCAGTTCGCTAACTGCTGGGCCATGAATAATATAAGAGATATCCGTGTCGGAAATCGCGTTCCAACAGAGTGCACGCTCACAAACACGTCCTCGCGTCGTAATCCGGAAGGACTGCTGTGTGTACACTGTGTTTTTATTTGAGAATGGACTTATTTCTAACTCAGATCTCCCTTAAAATAAATATGAACGTTTAGCTTCAATGGGCCCTCGTCTAGTTAGTTATATTAAGGACTACATTGGACTTCGATTTTGCTTGTGCACACCCCTGTGCACGTGTGTGTATATATGTATCATTCGTTTATAGACACTGTGAATGAACGATACTCGATGATGACCTTTCATTCTGAGTCAGTTAAGATAAAACAAACTGTACGGAATACATTTTCACAAAACTCCACTTTCAAGAAAGCCCACGGCTTGATGAAAGCCTGGGCGATGACAGTCATGGAGGTTGATTAAGCATACTTCACCACGCTGGTCCGTCCGGAATTATAATGTGGCGTGAACCAGCTCACGCTCCACTGGTGTTAGCCGTGGCCCTGAATTAAACTCAGGTGGCCCCGTTCACAGCGCAGTGGACTAAACTCTGCACCACTGTTCCTTTGTGAATGACATTGTATACAGCGCACTGAAATCGAACAATCGGTTGTATACTCTGGTTCACGATTTCATCGGTCCGCAGATGATCGTGCTGCAGTCGCTGCACAAGTACCAGCCGCGGCTGCACGTCGTGGAGGTGAGCGAGGAGGGCGTGGAGGAGGCCGTGGCACAAGCGGCGCGAGCCCAGACCTTCACCTTCCCCGAGACACAGTTCATCGCTGTCACCGCCTACCAGAACACGGACGTGAGGACCCGCATCGCCTGACACGACGACACCGCAGCCCACCACCTCCCCCCCCACCGTATTGCAAAGCAGACTATATATTTAATTAATCAAGAGCCCGGTACAGAGGTCAAAACAGCGTTTTTTCACAGGCTGCAATCTCTGTTAGCGAGCGCCTACGATGGCCGGTACGGCGCACAACGGGGTGGGTGTTCAACACCAACACCCGGACGCCTTTGTCTCCCCGGTGGCGATGGTTACACATCGCACCAGGCACTCATTTGAGGCTAAATTGACCGCGAGGAGGCCCAAGACCGTTTCAGATAATCGTCAAGACCGGTTCAGATAATCGAGCTCGGCTCACTGGGTTCCAAGCGCAGCGCGTTAACCGCCACATCACCAGTCGCCTGACCCATACTAACACGCGCTAACCGCTGCGCCACCGCTCCACACATACACACGTAACAAACCGAGTCGAAATATTCACTTGAGCCCAGACAGATGATTACCCCACCCCTCCATTTCCGTAAATTACACATTACATATTGGGAAGACCATGAAACAGTGTCCGTGTTTTAGTATGCTAATGCCGCGCTCCTAAATCTTCTTAACTCAAGTAGCGTAGTACATTGTCCGATTCCTTTATGAGCATTTCGCCTCTGATCGCCCGGAACAAAAAGACTATCAGTTCTAGGGATAAATAAGCGGCCTACTTGCTGTGCTACCGTCTACACGGACATCGTTTACTCCATTAACATGGCCATTCGCCCGGTTTATCAGCATGCAGCATTTATCGAACGGTCTGCACACCTTAACACTTTCCTGCAGCCCTTAAGCCGTACAAATATTTTGTTTGACACGCAGCTGTTTGTTGCTGGCCCACTGGACGTAGTCGGGGCTTTTGGAGCAGGGCTCTGGAACTGTGTTAACACAAAGAACCCCACAAATATCCCCTCCGGTGGAAATACAGACTGACGGGTGTGGTCGGAACCACGCCCGTCCCGTCTTTGTCTCCTTTGTAGAAAATATTTGGACACACGAAACGGGTAACTAATTTCATGACTATAGACTGAGTCGACCACGACTCGGCCTCAACGCACACGCGACGCCGTAACTTTCACGTGCCAATGGGAATTTGAGGAACGGCAATGAATGCGTGAGGAGGAGCGGTGGCGCAGTGGTTAGCCTACTAAACCGGCCAGCCTATGTTCGGTTCCAGGCCACTTCTAACATCAGTGGCGATTGATGTCTGAACCACTCCTCACTTGAGCAGCGGACAGAAGTACGGTCAAACAACCCACATTACCCACACGACGTGGGGAGGGAAAGGCCTCCATCCTGAAGCGGATTGACAATGATCTGAAATAAAAATACAATATGTGCTTCGTGTTCACTCTGCTGTCATCTGTACAGAAAACACCTCCACGAGGTACACGTCACAGAAAAACACTGAACCTGCGCTGCCTTGCGGCACATATCCTCGCAATCCCAAGCACCTCTGATAAAGAGCGTCCGAGTCAATCGCCGCGGCTGCCAGCACAGTCGTACTCTGACAACTGTAATCATTAAAACCCCACTTAATAAAGTGCAGAGCCTAGTGAATTGCGCGTAAATTAACACGGAGTCCATCCTTCGCAGCCAAAATACAGAATCATTGGAAATTCGCGAAATCAATTACGAAGATTCATTCAGTCGTCGTAGGGGGTCCGGTGCATAAGATAACTGCAGACTGTGACGCCGTGGTTAGTGGAGCGGTGGCGCAGTGGTTAGCACATTGCGCTCTAAATCCGGCGCCCCGAGTTCGATTACCGACGACAGTGAACATCAGTGGCAAACAATACCTGCATAGATTCCAGGCCGCTCCCTTCACCAACTCCGCATTGTACGTATGTATATTGAACCTCTTTTGTACCGTACGTAGCCAACCGCACTAATCAGAGGTGCAAAGAAAGGACAACAAACTAAACACAAAAACTGATTTCTATAGAAATTAATGTTCTATTTTTTAAAAAACATGGTGAAGTATGGGTATTAAAACCAGCATGAATGGCACGTCATGGGGAGTCCTTCATCCATCAGGGAGTCGACAAGGGGTTGTATATTACATTCATCGCGCCTTCAGTCGTGGACCAGCGTCTAAAACAGACTTAACAGTCACGGCGATGAAAGCATCGGCAAGGCCAGCATATTGGTCACTGCATTCTCGAATACACGCGCGGATGATTATGTTTAAGAGTTCCAAAGCCAGATTGTAATCCAGAATTCATAATTTTACAACGGTTGTTCAGCACATGCCTGATAAATATCCAAAACGTCCAGCTGCCAGCATTAAATAGCACTTTTGCAGCTGCAATAAAATTGGGCAGATCTTTTGGCAAACACCTGCTAATCTCTCCATCACCATCACGTAAGGGACAAATCACCCGAGCGGCGTGATTGGTAGCGGCCGTTTCTTCAATATATTAGGGTTGCCCCAAAAGTGACAGGCGAGGAGTAGGCGTGATGGTTTTACTCCTAATGAGAGAATGTTGGAGGGGTCTGGGTGGGTGGGATGTTTAAAGAGTGTATACAGAGATGCGCAGTCTTCCCCATCTGAAGTGTGGGCGACGGGTGGGAGGGGGTCCTAGTTATTCCCTGATGAGTGGAAGAGGTTTGGGGTAACCCCCTCATCTCTGAGACTCCCATCGGTTCCGTGTGTGTGATTCCTACACCTGGCTTTAAGGTCACGCCTTCGGCAGATACGAATGGTATTGTCACTATTGCACGCATATGAGCAGCCGTCGCCTTACAGCAGGCTATATAACGTCCTCTTGCAACGAACGCGTCCGAGATCACTCCCACAGAGGAGGTTGAGTGGTTAAATCAGCACGTGATCAGATGCTACGTGGATTATTACATCGCAGAATAGCGAGTGATGGCAACTTCTATGGGAGAGGACTTCATCCTCGTCATTAATAAGTCAAATTATGGATGCAGACACATTTCCCCAGCTAAATGAAAATTAGACCGAACTTCTCCTAGTCGGCTCTTACCAACAATTAAAAAACTGGGACTTTTCAGCCTAATTATTGATGACCATAACGTCTACATGAAGCATGAGATTAGTAATCTTTGGGTAATATTCGATCCGTCCCTTTTCTTCGAAGCTCATGTTAATTAGGTTGTGAAAACCTCAGAAACATTGTTCGACTGCACAAGATCCTTATACCGGCTGATTATCAGAGGCCAGTCCATTGTAGTGAGTCTAACTGAGTCGCAGACGTTGTTCCTTTTAGAGGCAACATTTTTATTTGTAACACCGTAACACAAGGGGGTAACTGCCCCTTTGCCAGACTACAGCGAGTAACTGCTACGAAGGGTCGATCCCTCACTCGGGTCTCTGATCACGTGGTTGCCTCAAGCTTCAGCTTGAGACGTAGAGCTTCCAGCTTGTAGATGTTGAGCTTCCAGCTTGTAGATGTTGAGCTTCCAGCTTGTAGATGTTGAGCTTCCCGCTTGTAGATGTTGAGCTTCCCGCTTGTAGATGTTGAGATTCCAGCTTGTAGATGTTGAGCTTCCAGCTTGTAGATGTTGAGCTTCCAGCTTGTAGATGTTGAGCTTCCAGCTTGTAGATGTTGAGCTTCCAGCTTGTAGATGTTGAGCTTCCAGCTTGTAGATGTTGAGCTTCCAGCTTGTAGATGTTGATCTTCCAGCTTGTAGATGTTGATCTTCCAGCTTGTAGATGTTGAGCTTCCAGCTTGTAGATGTTGATCTTCCAGCTTGTAGACATAGAGCATCCAGCTTGTAGATGTAGAGCTTCCAGCTTGTAGAATGCAGCGACCCCGGTCCCTCTCAGGGACCCGCCTTATATCCCTCTCTGGTCGGGGCCGCTCCGCCCTCGGACCCGCCCACCTTCCCGAACATTCTCGTTCCTTCTAGATCCTTCTCAAGAGCTCTCCCCGGACACGTGATCACCCACTAGCCCCCCCACCTGGGGCCCCTTGTGTGGACACTCTGGACCACGTGTCTACGGGGTCAACCAGAGTGCCAAGGCCCGGGGCAACCCTGCCCCTGGGCTGACGCTCACCCCCTCCCCCTCCGGGGAGCCCCCACCACACGCTGTGCGTGGTGCCCGCATTGTCCCAGTGCTCGCCAAGCCCCGCTAGGGCTGGTGCCACACACAGCCACCCACACGGTGCTGTCCACGCTCGGGCTGTGTCACACACAGCCACCCACACGGTGCTGTCCACGCTCGGGCTGGTGCCACACACAGCCACCCACACGGTGCTGTCCACGCTAGGGCTGGTGCCACACACAGCCACCCACACGGTGCTGTCCCCACTAGGGCTGTGTCACACACAGCCACCCACACGGTGCTGTCCCCACTAGGGCTGTGTCACACACAGCCACCCACACGGTGCTGTCCACGCTCGGGCTGGTGCCACACACAGCCACCCACACGGTGCTGTCCACGCTCGGGCTGTGTCACACACAGCCACCCACACGGTGCTGTCCACGCTAGGGCTGGTGCCACACACAGCCACCCACACGGTGCTGTCCACGCTCGGGCTGTGTCACACACAGCCACCCACACGGTGCTGTCCACGCTCGGGCTGGTGCCACACACAGCCACCCACACGGTGCTGTCCACGCTAGGGCTGGTGCCACACACAGCCACCCACACGGTGCTGTCCACGCTCGGGCTGGTGCCACACACAGCCACCCACACGGTGCTGTCCACGCTAGGGCTGTGTCACACACAGCCACCCACACGGTGCTGTTCCCACTAGGGCTGGTGCCACACACAGCCACCCACACGGTGCTGTCCACGCTAGGGCTGGTGTCACACACAGCCACCCACACGGTGCTGTCCCCACTAGGGCTGGTGCCACACACAGCCACCCACACGGTGCTGTCCACGCTAGGGCTGTGTCACACACAGCCACCCACACGGTGCTGTCCCCACTAGGGCTGGTGCCACACACAGCCACCCACACGGTGCTGTCCACGCTAGGGCTGGTGTCACACACAGCCACCCACAC